AAAAGAAAACAATATAATGAAAGATTTTACTAACATGCTCATATCCCTGTTATGTTGAGCCCAGTGCTCAGAGCACAGCATCTTAGAGACGTGAGAAGAAATTACACCCATCACACATGCCTTTATCATCACCATCACCATCCGGTATCTGCCCAGGCATGGGTCCAAACTGACTTCATGATGAAGCCTGACCCTTAAATTGTGCTTTTTTAAAAAAATTATAAAGTAAAACACCTCAAGCTTAAGAACACTACCTGCCAGATATGAGTCACATGATCCACAACTATTAAAAGGTTTCTTATGTACAAAAGCCCCTGAGAAAGGGAACGCCATGCCCTAAAAGTATTCTAAATGTATCGACAGAACTGAATTTTATCTGACAAGTCTTGATTAGAGGTCAGAGAGAACAAACTTGAAAGCAGGAATGACTAAAGCAGAGGAAAGAGGGCATCTAGGTAGATATGACAGAAAAGTCAGCCCAGAAAGAGATGTGCGTGGTGGCCAAGACCAAAGCTTCACAGTTTTGACCACACTGTTCTGTTGCTTCATTTTGAAGGTGCCAACTTCATATCTCTATGGGCAATAAAAACTGAAGTTATCGTTGTTATCTTTCAAGTAACCGGGAGAGAAAGAGCTAGCATCATTTCAGGATAGATGCATTTCCACCTGTTTTCCTATAAAAACATACCCTCTCATTGAAACTTTTAAAAAAAATGTTTCCATTACAGTTGACATTCATGAACCAGAATTCCACTACTGGGTATTTATCTAAAGAAATCCAAAACACTAATTCAGAAAGATACATGCACCCCTACGTTCACTGCATTGTTCTTTACAATAGTCAAGATATGGAGGCGGCATAATGGCATCAGTAGATGAGTGGATAAAAAGGATGTGGGACATACATACAATGAAATATTACTCGGCTGTAAAAAAAAAAAAAAAAAAAAAAAATGAAATCTTACCATCTGCAACAACATGGAAGGACCCAGAAGGTATTATGCTAAGGGAAAATAAGTTAGATGAAGAAAGACAAGCACCATATGATTTGACTTACTGAAGCTTTTGAAGTCAACACTGGGTTATTCACGGGCCAGGACCATATACTCCTTCCCAATGCAAGGCCCTGCCACTACATTCTCAATGAGAAATCATTTCCTGCTCTACTTTTCTCCAACACCCCATCTCATCCATTAGCCCTGAACATACATACTGTATAGCTAAAGCAATTTAGACTTTTGTGGCAACAACCTTTTAAATTTAAGGAAACAAAGTAAAGAGGAGAAAGGTTAAAATGCACCTACAAGAAGCAATTTGTTAAAAAGGTGATGAATCAGTGTCTCTACCTATAATTCACAGATTTCAGAGTAAGCAGCCTGTGAATTAAACTCCCTACTTGGGTCATGTTATCATAGTCTTAGGAGAGGCAAATGCCTTTCAATCTGAGTGCTTTCAGGCATTTGTCTGAAGTAACTCACTCATGAGCAGGATTAAGGAAATGTGCATAATTCCCTCCAACCAAGAACAATCTCGCCGCTCTCCCTGAGATTGGAAGATGGCTCTAAATAAGAGGTTCATTTATTTCCGTGCACCTGCGATTTTGTTCCTAAGTGGTGTGAATGGCTATTGAGGATCTGGTTCAAAATCAGGACTTCTCTTTTCTAAACTACTTAGCTCCCATTTCATTTAGAGGTGAATCAAGAAGGCATTCTCTGATGTTAGTAATAGTGCCTTCTACACAACAGCTGGAGAGAATAGAGGTAATTATGTAGCTTGCTGGGTGGGAAAGGAGGAAAGGGACCTTTCTCACTGTTTTCAATGAAAACAAAGGAGGTATCTAAAGTACTTGTGAGGCAGTCCTAGGATAGGCATTTCAGTGTTCCCATATTACATTTTCTTGGTTGCTGATAGGTGAACCATAATCCATAGCATCTCACATACCTTATTTTGGGACATAAGCAATGCAGACAAACACATTTCTTTCCGCCCTCTAAAAACACACAGTACAGACACCTGTTGACCTTAATTGTTCATAATTCTACATTAACTCAACAATCAGTCAAAACTACGTGATGCTGACCATCAGTTCTAGGTCTATGTGAAGGTTAAATGAGGCAAGAATCTAGCCTGTTACTAATACAGGGAGATTTCGGTGTCCCATTTTTCCTTTGGGAAACTTGGGGGGAGAAATTAGGCAAACAGGAGAAGAAGGGCTCTCTCATGACTGTCAACCACTATGTGCAATGTATTCATTTCTTACAATTTATTTTTTACTATGATATGAATCCAGGCAAAGTGACTCTGAATTATCTCTAAGTTATTAGAAGAGTCTGATTGCTTGGAGTTAATTTTATATATAAAAACATATTTATTTTATATAACTTTATATAGTATATGTATAATATTTACATATCATACATAATATGTAAATAGTATACATCATATTTATATATTTACATATTACATATATTTATCTAACATTTACATATTGCATACATTTATATAGTATTTACACAGTACATATAATATGTATACTATTTATATATTTCATATCATGTGTGTGTGTGTGTGTGTGTGTGTATATTTTATATATATAATGAAATTAAACCTAAGAAGTTGAGTTGCTCTGCAAAGAGCATCCTGTTTGTGTGTTGGCCGGTTTGGGGGGACGTAGAGGTGCTTCCTGGGATGTTGCCCTTTGGAGCCTGGCAGGCTGCAGCTCCTGCCCTCTGCATCCAGCTCCACGGGTCCACTGTGGCCTGGCGCTCTGCCCTCTTGGTGGGACTCAGGGGCGCTAGCCTAGTGCTTGTTCCCCAAATATTGCATCCAGTCAGCTTGAGAGCACCTCCCCTAGTTTCGGCCCATTAACCAGAGCACAACAGCTTGATGAATTAATGCTTATATAGGCACAGTTGGCAGCTTCTAATTAAATAATTATGGCTAAGCAGCTGCACGGAAGTTGTTATGGACCCTAGAAAGCCAGCTGTCAGTTTTGTTGGTCCTAGGATAGAGGAAGCGCTGACACTGAGCTCTGGATGCTAGGCACACAGGAGGAGTGTGTCACCTGCAACGTGTATACTGTGTGGTATAAAGTTGCTGCGTGTTTGGGCTAGCCTGACCACGAAGGGATGGCGAGCGGACTGCTCCTCAGCAACCTCTCAGCAGCCCAACGAAGACAGAAGCAATTACATAATCAGGAGAATAGAGCCGGTCCAGAGCAACTTAAGGAGGGCACAGTGTTAGATGCACGAGTGTTTGATCCATCTTTAACAAAGAAGCATCACGAAGCCAGGAGGTAAATACATTTCAGGTTCTAGGTCTTATTTACATGAGCACGTGATTAGAAATCTATTTTGGTCTTTTTGTGGGGGGAGAACTAGTATGTTTTTATTTGTCTGAAGCTTTTTAAGATGCTGTTTCAAATACTATTAGAAATTAAAGAACAAGGTGAATATCACAAACCTAGATTTGAACTCTAAGGTCCATTTTTTCCCAAAAGTGAGGTGATGATATTTGTTCTACACAATCACTGATAATGTCAGATTCCTCTACAGAAGGCTAAAAAGCTTGAGTCTTATCTCTACACTAGTGGGAAATCCACCAAAAGGAAGAAAGCAGTGTCTGGCAACTGAGCTCCGGCACAGAGGGAGATACCGATTATAGATAAATCACAATCTTGCTACTACACATCACACTGCAGAACTGATAGCTGGTTTCATGCTTGTCCACAGGCTGTCCCATCTACACACCCCTATGACTGCACCTCTAAAAACCCAGTGTGTGCTATGACCCAGTACAGGACAGCTCGGCTTCCCACTGACCAGTCCACCGAGGTTCCCAGCACCATCTCCAAAGGAAGAAACACAACGCCAGGCAAAAATGAGTCCAAGAAATTCATTTGTTCTTTTGCGCTTAAATCAATTCAGACATTTTAACCCCCTCCATGGATTGGTTTGCCTTAAAATAAGAGGAAATAGAATGTTAACATTGGAAACAGATTTCTTACGAAATTCACTTCCCAACCCCCAGGCCTGTTGAATATCCACAGTTAACTCAAGCACTAAACTTTACAGACTGATGTACTTACTGGTCTCCCTTCAGAAGTCAATGGCTTATAATTTATCTAAAATAATACCATTTTCTAAAACAAGGCACTCTCTACTGAAAGTTGTCATTTAAGCAAATGGACTGACCTCTAGGAAACCGAGCTTAAAAGCTTCGATACAATAGTTTCCTGTCCTTTTCCCCCCTCTGTTTCCTTTTATGTCAGTAATTCTGTCACCTCAGCTGTCTAGATGTTTGCACGTGATTGACGATTCCCAAGGACCGAGCTCCTTTCAGATGGACCTTAAATGAAGTTCAGCTTAATGAAGTCTGCAGTGCAACTCACGTCGCAGTACAAGATGCTAGAGGATCAAATAGCAGACTTGTAAAGCCTATAAAAGCAAATTTTAGGCTTTGGGGGGCGGGGGTCTTTTGTCAGTCTATACTGCCATCTGGCCAAAACCACATCATTCAATACAACGTCCATTTGTGTTTTCAAAGCCCCTGATGAAAGCAAGTCTTCAGCTACCAGCTTAACAGATTCCAAAATTCAGATCAAAGAATCGACAGCAGCACGTCATCCACTCTGAGTCTACCGACCTCCAGGGACCCACAGCCACGTTCTAATCTTCACCTCATCTTCACAGTTTAATATCTGGCACACAGACATAGATGTCTGTTTCAACTCCACATAACACCTACACCAATATCATTTGCATCTTGTGATTTTTCAGGCCTTTGAATATTCTGTGACTTCACTAGAGAAACAGATAAAAGTTGCCTTAGGCAAGAGATGAGAGCTGAATTATAAGCTCTAATACTCTAGCTATACCTCAAGTTTAAAAAAAAAATCCCCAAATAGTATTCTTTAGATATTGACTGAACATACAGCCCATACACATCTGCAAAGAGAATCAACACACATGAAAAAAATAATAGGAACCCTTTGCACTTACGGTAGAAGACGTATTCAGTGTAGCTTGACCAGATCTTGTCATCTGTATATTGGTTGAGGAAAGATGCTGTCACTGAGGAGTTACAGGCCACCATGTGGAATCCACACTCTGACAACATATCAAAAGCCCTTTCCAGATGCTTGAATTTAAGATAAAATCTGGAGGTGTATCTTTCTGGGGCTCGGTCAGGGTCTCTGCTCTCATTCAAAGTTTCTCCGAAGACCTCCTTTGCCAAGGAGATCCTTCCACAAACCAAAATCCGGGGAACTCTCCGAAACTTGGCATCGGTCTGCCCCTCTCTGCCCATGGTGCAGGACCCCCTGTAACCCACAGTAATAAAACCCCACTTGCGGTCGGCAGGGAGCAGAGAGGAAGGGGGGCAGATTCTGGTGTCGCTTGCCTGGGAGGCATCGTCGAAGTCACTGTGGCAGAATTCCTCCGGGCTTTGCTTGATTTCATCAGGGGTCAGGAGTTTAACCAAGTCTGGGAGCTGGAAGTACTCAGCTTCCCTTTTCAGTCTTCCTCTTTCTGGAAAGTGATCAGGCAGGACCACCTGCCTGTCCCTGAGATAGTCCAGAATATAACGAAACAAGAATCCATCTCTGTCGATGAAAAACCTTCCCTTGGAGTCCTTGGCTAGATCGTTAGCCTTGTCTCTCTTTGGGGAAAACATTTTCCACAGGAGGGAATGAGGGATGCTTATTAATGTGGAATGCCGAGTGAAATAAACTTGACCTCCAACATTCAGCTCCATGACCTCAGGAAAGGAATTGGGAACTGCGGCCCCTTGTTCTCGAGGGTAACGACTACAGTTTCCACTCAGAGCCATTGTCCCTTTCTCTTCCTCCTCCTCCTGTTTTGATTCGAAGGTGCAATCCAAAGGAGTCACAGCCTTATCCTTTACATTAACTTGTAAGGGAGGGAGGAAGAAGGCTGCTAACTTGTTAGAAGCAACCTTCTCTTACCCCAGTATTCTTCCCCAAGAAAGCAGAATTTAGAAGCGTCCACAGGTGAAGCAGGTGAAACCCTTGCTGGTGGTGAGCTATTACTTCATGGAATAAAATCAACTCATCTCCATTCGATCTTCCCCCAGGCTCAGTAGACAAGGCAGGCCAAGTCCCCAGTTACTCAGGGATCTGTCTAAAGGAAAAGAGAGAAAATTATTTCCTCAAACCCAGCATGAGTCAGAAAAAGAGAGAGCTGCTGGAGAGGGGAGAGGAGAGGGAGGGAGAGGAAGGAAGGGAGGGAGAAAGATTATTTTACATAAGCAGCCCTGAAACTACTAATTTCAGCCATTCTCCAGAGAAATAGCTTCTCTCCTGCTATTTTGTGCCTATATGTTTATCCATATGCCTCTGTCTCCAGCAATTAGTATTAAAAACAGTTCTATTTGTATTTCTGCATTAAACAGGAATATGCGATTTTCAACTTCTAAAAGGGGATTTTTTTTTCCAGCTGGACAAGAAAATCAATAAGCCTCAGAACTTACCCTAGTGAGTGCTGGAAACTCAGTCTGTGAAGAAATACCCGTTAGCAGAGCAGTCAGAATGCACAGCCACACTGAGCCTATCAATGAAAAGTGCCCGAGAGATGTGCTCTTGGGAAATAATAATCCCATATAAATGTATATTTGCATGTATCTATGTATATCTTCATTTTTAATCTCAAGTTAAAATAAGTCACAAAAAAAGTTCAACCGTGATGAGAGGTGATTGGGTTGAAGAAGCAGAGAAAAATATTCAACCTAGGCATCTCCAGGAAAAAAACAAACTCAAACCTTCAGCAAGAATCCTTAAAACAGAAGAGAGTTGCAAGAAGTATTAAGACTTGGCTTTTCAGAAAGCCCAGAGGCAGAAAGCTAGAGGTGCCCTGCTGGGGTCCCAGGTAGCCACCCCACCTGCGGGGAAGGGTGAACGGGCTCCCATGTTCCCAGCCAGGTGGGAGCCTCTGGGAGCTGCCGGGAGCCGCGGGAGCCCTTGGGGGCCGTGGGGAGCAGCAGCAGGCAGGAGCCGGGGGAGCCGGTAGGAGCCGCGCCGCCGGAGCGCAGAGATGCCGCTGGTCCTGGGCTCCAGCTTCTCGGGCGGGCGGCGGAGCTGGGCGGTTCCACAGTTCCCAGTGCAGTTGGGCTGCTGTTGTTTCAGCAGTGCAGGCAAGAAACCATCCAGGGAAATGACTATTACATCATCTTAAAGGAATACGGCTGGGAGAAAGCGAAGGCAGCTGCGAGTCACGTCGTCCTCGGTGACAGGTCGCCAGGACGGCCTGGGGCCGCGCGCGCCGGCCCTGGGCTCGGACTCCGGGCGCTCGGACTTGGGGCGGGACCCGCGCGGCGCAGCCTCCTCCTCCCTGCCCTGTGCAGACGCCCCAAACCAGTGGACAGAGAAACGCAAGTGATTTTTCACTTGAAGAATCTACAAACAAGCCCTTTGCACATGCACTTCATTTCTGCTGAAGGGCAAATTTCCTCCTAAAGCTTGTTTTAAAGAAAAGCCCACCTGCTGACCCCAACAACGTTCAAACTATGAAGTAGTTGTTTGTTTTTTACCAAAGGAGATCAAACCATGTTCTCTCAAGCACCCTCTCTTTTCCCCTCCTGCATCACCCTTCTGTCACCCCCCCCACGCACTCCCCCCCCCCCCAGTAAATAAGTAAATAAATATTTACAGTCTCTCTGGAATAAATGCTATTTCAAAAGAATACGTGAAGCACTGATACCCTCGGAAGGCCCACAGTTTACACCAGCAAGTCCTTCTCTAAGCTTACCTGTGAGAAGGTGTAACCTGCAACCTTTCTCTGGGGCTGTTTTCTTACTGAGCATCTCCTGGGGTGTGCCACCCGCCCCCCACCACTCATCCCAAGAGGTCTCTGGTGGAAGACACGCCTGCTAGGAGATAGTTCACTCTTGTCCCAAAGGACTCTGGTAAGTGCACCATTAGAGTTTCAGGAAGGCATTTCCAGGGCAACCTAATCCACTAACAAAGTGCTTCCAGTTGATCCTGCCAGTCAATAATGGCCCAGCCAACAGTTTACAGTAAGTCAGCCATTTCCCCTTTAAAACACCAGTGCCTTAGGACTCATTCTTAATCAGAATATAGTACTTTGTCTATGAATAATATATGTGATCCACACTCCACCCCAAACAATTGCTATTTAAAAAATAAATAAAAACCAGAAATGGAGAGGAAAGCATGAATTAGAGACACTTTACAGATACATGTGTTTATTGCCAACTCTCCCCTCAAGATTTAGCTTGAAGATAGACTCAGCAGTAGGATGAATTATTTCTAGTTTAACAGTCTTACAATGACTATCAGGTTCCTGAACACATTCAGAGTATTAGCTAACACTCCAACACCTGATTATATTTGACTTTGCTTCTTTAACTAATGTATTAACCTGTTCTGGCCTCAATCATTGGGATCTTGAAATGTTTATTATTTGATGCACTTATATCGCCATCTACTGTCTCTAAGCTATCAGTGCAGATCTGTATCTGGCAACTTACCTGAAACAAGTTAGATTTATTTTATTTTAAAATTTATGTAGTGACTGGAGTATTACCGGAAACATACTGTTCACCAGGATGACAAAATAAACATTTAGTTGCCATTAGATCAAGGGAAAATTAAGTCTATTAAATATTGGGTTTGGCCCTGGCCGGTTTGGCTCAGCAGTTAGAGCGTCCGCCTGCAGTCCGGAGAGACCCGGGTTCGGTTCCCGCTAAGGGCACGTACCTCAGTTGCAGTTTGTCCCCGGTCCTGGTTGGTCGTGCCGGTGGCAGCCACTCAATGTGTCCCTTTCACATCGATGTTTCCCTCTCTCTCTCTTCCTCTCTCTCCCTCCCACTCTGTCTGTACAAAAAATGGAAAAATGTCCTCGGATGAGGATAAAAATATATATATATATATATGTTGGGTTTGGTTGCAATTAAAAGTAAACACATGTTTTATTTCTAACAGAGTAGACCAGTGTACCATTGACAACAGCTCTGGAGATTGGATATTAAAATATTCTTGAGCCCGGCCGGTGTGGCTCACTGGTTGAGCGTCAACCCATGCACCAAGAGATTGCTGATTCGATTCCCAGTCAGGGCACATGCCCGGGGTGTGGGCCTAATCCCCAGTGGGGAGCATGCAGGAGGCGGCCAATCAATGTTCTCTCTCATCGATGTTTCTATCTCTCTCTCCCTCTCCCTTCCTCTCTCTAAAACATCAATAAAGAACAATATTAAAATGAAATGTAAGTGGAGAATAGGAGTAAGAAAAGCCACAGCCTTTTAAAGCTAAAAGGAACTAGAGAAATGGAAATCACCATCTCATCTTAGAGAAATGAAGGACCAGAGAGAGAAAGCATTTCCAAAGAATCACACAGCCTCAGAGCAGCAGGGTGGGGTTTAGACCTCTGCCATTCAGGACGATCAATGTCCTGTTTTTAACCTTACATAATCTAGACCAGGGATAGAGAGGAGGAAAATTAATAATATATAGTAATTTCAAGATTACTACACATTTGAAAAAGAAAAACGGTAAGTCACTTAGAAGACATTTTAATATTAAGTTAATTAGAAGGCTAAAAATGTTTCCAACTAATGAAAAGAGTATTCTGAATTTCAAAAACGTGGAGCTCTAATCATTGATTTGGGTTTCATAGCTTAGGCTATGTTTTGAGACTGGTTCTTACCCTTTTTTAGAAAATGAACTGCATTGAGAATCTAATGAAATCTGGAAAATGAACACATAAGCATAAAGGTATGCATTACATGTTGGGCAGAACCTCTCAAGAAGAGCTGTAAATGGGGGGAATCAGGGAGCCACATGGCCAGACACTCACTTTCCAAGCAATCTGCAAATTTTGACCATGAACCTACTCTTTGAAATAAGATTACGCATACACTCACAGAGACGTGCTCTGAGGATTGAAAAAAATAAAACTGCCCTGGCTGGTTTGGCTCAGCGGTGAGAGCATCAGCCCGCAGACCAGAGCCCAGGTTTGGTTCCTGCTATGGCTCGTCCCTTGGTTGCAGTTTGTCCCTGGCCCCGATTGGGGTAGTGTGGGTGGCGATCAGTTGATGTGTCTCTCTCACATCGATGTTTCTCTCTCTCTTCCTCCCTCCATCCCTTCCACTCTATCTGAAGATAAATGCAAAAATGTCCTTGGGTGAGGATTTACAAAAAAAGAAGAAAGAAAGAAAGAAAATATTCACTAGACAACTTTAACCTGGAGACCCATGGTTGGACCACACAACCCAAATTGGTATTTTTCAATAAGCATTGTATATATACTATTCTTTGCACAGTATCGCTTTATATTATTTTGAGTTAAAATGTTCATTTATTATAGTAAATCATGAAAAAATAAATAAAACAGCTGTTTTGCTAGCCCCCTTTAGGCTTACTTACTTTTTAATCCACCTGAAGCCTCAAAAAATTGCAAATGTCTGGGCCTCTCTCCCACCTTTTTGAGAGATCAGGCATTTGGGTCAAGACCGGTTAACATCCTCTGCTCTGTACTCTTTTTTGCTCCTTTAGTGCTGAGGAGGTAAACAAATGAAAAGTGAGATTAAACAGAGAATACGCTGGAAGGAAGCAAAGCCACGTACCAGAGGTGGACAGTGCAGGACTGAGCAAGCGCGCGTGTCTCCGGGAGCTTGTCAGCAAGCCCTGCTGCTGGGTGCCTTAACCAGGCAAGAAGCCACGTCTAGGCCGTGAGTGTATTCCTGTCCTTCGTGTCAGCAGATAACACTGCTGGTGTTATGACTCTCTTCCGGCAGCTCTCCGCCGAAACACCGTGGGATGCCACGCTGGCCCAGAGGCTGAACATCCAGCAAGAGAATG